AAGCTAAAACGCCCATCAAGGGGCCAGTACGCACTTAGTAGTCCAAAAATGAGGCCTTAGCTAGTGATGTTAGACTAACGGCTTACCGTAGGCCTCTTAGTGTGGTACGGGTCATTGCTAGAGGCGTTCTGGTGGCTGCGGTGGGTGGCTAAAGTGTCCGATGGGGCAACCGTCATGGTGGGGCAACCGTCACTTTTCTTTTACTAGGCTAAGTCCGCGGCCTACTAGTAGTAAAATGAAATCATCCAAAACTGTTAGAATAAATAGAGCATGCAACCCAAATAAATCATATTTTAAAGTTATGAAAATTTATCTGACCTCCTCGCATATTTCATTCCTCTTTCTCGTACAAATGGCAAGATCTAATTCACAAATCAATGAAATCAACGATATCCATCCATATATTCCTGCACCTGCTGAGGGATACACACGGGATGAAAGGCTACGGTTTGCTCTCTTAGAGTATTGGATGAAGGATAAAGAGTGGAAGGATGGTGGCAGACATGGACCGGGTCCAAAAATTAAAGCAGTAGCTCAGTTGTACGAAATACCAAGAACGACATTATCTGATTATATTCATAAGCCACAAACTGGATCACGGCAGTCGCATAATGAAGACATGCAGGTTTTGACAAAGGAAGAAGAAGCTGTCTTAGTTAATCGATTATTATTTATGGATGGATTCAATATCCCAGCCGATATATCAACAACATACGATTTAGGAAATGACCTTTTACATCATCGAGAACCGGGAAGAAATTTGGGAGTAAAGTGGCTTGGTCGTTTTATAGCACGGAATCCAGCTGTAAAATTTGTTAAAACAAGAAATAAGGATAGAACACGGGTTAATGCAGAGGACTGGAATATCATGGATGATTTCTTCTGGAAAGTAAGTATACTTTCTAGAATAATAAAACTTGAATACTGACAAATATTTAATTAGTTAAAGGTAGTGAAAGAGAAATACGATATTAAGGATGACAACATATACAACCATGATGAAAAGTGCTTTATATTAGGTTTAGGAAAGTCTCGGAAAAGAATTGTGGCATCCTTTCGCAATGATCCCACATTCAAAGAACAGACAAACAGAGAGTCCTGTACTGTTATTGAAACAATTGGTGCACAGGGACAGTTGTTACCACCATTGATTATTTACAAAGCAAAAAGCTTTCTTTGTGGATGGTTCCGAGAAGAAAAGGAAGAGGTATACTGGTATGGTTATTCACAAAATGGATATACCGATACCCAGCTCACTTTAGAGTATTTTCAGTTGATATTTGAACCACAAACACGGCCAGAGTGAGTACAATTCCTAACAGTTTTACATACATACTAATTATTGAAAAATAGGAATTCAGATGAGTGGCGGCTTGTGATTTATGATGGATTTGGCTCACATACCTCACCGGAGCTTATTGAATACTGTGCTTCAAATAAAATTATTCCACTATGTTTACCAGCTCATACCTCTCATATTTTGCAACCACTGGATGTTGGAGTATTTGCTTCTCTCCAAAGCGCCTATGGTGATGAGGTTAATAGAACACATACAGTTGTTGATAAAGACAATTTCCCTAACCTTTTATCAAGAGCCCGTCAACGAGCATGTTCGAAAAAAAATATAGCTTCTGGATTTAGAGCTACCGGAATTGCTCCATATAATCCAGATCTTATATTACGCAATCTCAGACTTCCCACACCAGAGATCGAACCATCAATACAGCCAGAACTTCCTTCACCAGAGTTCAGAAGTACGATCGACCTATTATCCTACAATCCACCAAAAACAACCAACCCGCTTAGTCTCAATCAAATCGCTAAGGATGGTGGAAAAGCATTGGCGGCACTACCATCCTTTCCACTTCCAGAAGTTATGATTTCATTTATTCAACGTACAATTTTAACGTTGAAAGATAGTGCACAGCAGGCGACTGGTGAGGCAGTGATGGCCAGGGCTGGAGAACGGGTTTTACAAGAAAAACTATCTGCTGAGAAAGCCAAGAGGAAAACAGATAAACGGCAAATCCAAAAAGATCCTGGAACTGCTACTATTTTAGAAAAAGGAAATGAGTTAACAAGAAAAAGAAAGGAACGTGATGAGTTAGATCAAGTCTCAGCTCACAAAAAAAATACAAGTAAAAAGAGAAGAAAAAGAATGACTACTTCTAAAACACCTTCTATACTGGAGAATCCAGAACCGACACGTATGTACTCATCTGTCTTATTTGTTTTCTCAAACCCGTACTAAATTATACTATTAGGATCGAATATTCAACTTCCTTCAAGTTGTTTGACTCTTCACCCTCCTCCACTGCCCCTCCCAGGCTGTGCCTTGCGTTCTCCCTGTTCTCAGATTCCCCTGGTTGTAAGTACTTTCTGTTACAACTCAGCTTTTGATATTTATTAATTTAGCCATCTTATCTGTTATTTTAGGCCTCATCTTTAAATCATACTGGTCAATCCGATCATATTTCACTACAAACCAACTATTATTCACCTCCAACCCACTCGTTTACTTCAAGTTCACTCCTGTATTATCCCCCTCTTCCGTATTGTCTTCTTAAATAACTTTCTTCTAACCGTTCTTCTATTTACAGTTATCCCTTTCCTGGAACTCCCTCTTTCCCCGTTCACTTACCTCCCCCAACTCCATGTCCCCTATCTACCTCCTATCCCCCATCTACTTCCTGTCCCCCTCTCACTTCCCATCCTCTACCCCTCCTACCTCCACCACCTCCTACCTCATCTATTCCTCTCTCCTCAAACCTCTTAGTACGGTCTTTATCCCCCCGGCTCCTACTCCCCCAACCTCCTCACCCCCCCTCGCTATCACCCAGGCTCCTACTCCCCCAACCCCCTCACCCTCCCTCCTCCTTCCCCCCCTCTCCTAACCCCCCCCCCTCCTCCTTCTCGTCCCCCCCCCTTACTCATCCATTCCACCTTTTTCTGAATCCATTACCCCCAGCCAACTCTTTCAAGCTACTATGTCTTCTATCCTGTCCTCGTTCCAGCCCTCTCCTACTTTAGGTACAAGGACTGTGGCATAACTGATTTGATATTAAATTCAAGTTATTAAGATAGATATGAACACAGATAATCAGGGAGCTAGGAACTTACTGCCATGATATGGTTATACAAAATCAAAAAATAAATTGGCATGAAAATTTCTGGTTCAGTAGCTCTGAAAGTCACATGATCGGTTGGAAAAAATACTATCCTATACCTTAGCCGGCAAAAGTGACGGTTGCCCCATCGTGACGGTTACCCCATCGGACACTTTACTGTGCGCTTTGTCTTCTGCTTACCAGTGCGCCTTTACTAAGAGGGCCTCCTCTAGCCAAAATTTTGTCGCAGTCCCCATCAAATATCTAGGGAAATATACGTCTTCTCCGCCAAGACGTGTCAATAGGTTCCCCTATATTTTTCCACTAGGAGTAGGGAGGAGCGGACTCAACAGAGCGAGTGACCTCCCATGACGGCTTGAGAGCATGCAAGCAGCCGTGCACATCCTTTCATTCGTGCCCGGACTTCTAATACTGATTGTATGATAACTTAGGTTCTGTGTAAGTATACCAACATACTAAACATCTAAATGGTAATACATGTGCATACAATAGGAAATACAAAGTGGTTTCTGACAGAGTGAACACTGGAAACTCATGCGATGAACCTTTCCAGGAATGGATGAATTTTGGACTTAGAAAGAGGAGAACTTGGAAGACTCAGTGGAGCTAGTGGAAGAATTAAAGGGAAAGAGGTTGAAGAGGTAAGAGTAGAAGAGTAATTAGGAGTATCTTGGATGAGGTCTATAGTGGCTGTGAGCCAGCCAGTGGGAGGGTAGAGTTCGGGATGCTTGATCAAATAATGGCAGAAAAGGTAAAGTTGTTTTTGTCTATGCTCTATTATATGGTTGCCTGGTGTTTTTCTTTCCAGATTGAAATTATAGTACTTACTAACATAATTATATCTCTGACTTTGACTATTATTTTCCTTTGGAGTCACTCCTAAACAGTATTGACTGTTTCCAATCTGAGTAGTTGTAGATATAATATTTATAGAATTTCAAGTATGGACTTTGTAAGTATGATTAAGTAAACCAAATCCTTCAAGTACTAGGCTTCGTGTTAGCCTTATATGAAACAAGCTATAAGGACTCCAATATGGCTTTTTGGAACAGGAAGTCACATTTCACAACTCTAACGTAGCGACAAAACCGACCCCGCACCATGCCATCCATTCAGCATCAAGATCCGCCATTGGGGTGTTACTAGAGCACAAAAATGTAGATATAGATTCACCTCCGTGTGTCTTTTAGGAGGTTAGGTGTCGTTCAACTGTTTTCCTGTCGCTGCTGGGACGGCTAGTACTGCATGTGTAATATTAACAGCTATGATATGATATCATATATAAGGAGAGCCGCAAGTTGATTCATACCCTGTTTTAGAAGACCTTTAATGTCCCGTATCCAGGGGTGTGTAGGTGTGTAGGTGTGTAGGTGCACTTTGCGGTATCTGTAGAATAAGATCTCTCCCCGGAAATGTTTTTCTGTTTTTCAATCCTGTGCCCCCCCAGGCGTGACCCTGTACGGAAATGTTGACTTAGAGAATGAGGGTAGAAGAAGCGCTAAGTAATGAGGGGAAATCAATAGTTGAGTTGGTTGTACAGGAGATTGATTGTTCCAAGAGCCGGGAAGACTCTGAAGAAATACCGAGAAAGCGCCACTGCTGTTCCTCCCAAGTTAAAAAAAAAGGCAATCTGAGCAGGAAACGTGGGTATCGTGATATCTTGCGCAACGATACCTAGGTTAGCAGTTTCCTCGAGTGATATTTGGTGATGATCTCGTGTTTTTTTCTCCATTAAATCCTTTGTTTTAAATTAAATTAATTTAAACACAGGCCAGAGCTCAAGGAAGATAGATTTAGTGGGATTTAATGCTAAGTAATTTTGGTTCCGTGCTCTAGTGAGATATGTGTGACAAGTGCTAAAGCTTCAAGCATCAAAGAGAAAGGAGCCTAGGATTTCTCTTTGTATCCAGATAATAATGGTCATAAGTTCCAATATGAAAACAGATATTGGGAGTAACAACCCCTCTCTGGTGCTATTCCTAATTCAAAGAAACGCGAAGTACGTACTGCTGATAGCAGTGAAGCGAACTGGTAGACAAGATCAAGCCGCCAGACTAACCCAATATCTCCTCACAGCATCCCCACCTAGTCATATAACACGTCCCATCCCACCCCCTCTACTTCCCATCAAAGACCGCCTCCTTATAATACCTCAACTCCTCGATGCTCTCCAAAATATCCATTCTCGCCTCATGCAACAACTTCTTCACTGGTACCCCCCCATACACCTCCTTAGAGCACCACATCCTCACTGCCTCCTTCACCGTCGAAACATCTATAATCCTGTAGTGCAGATGCTCTGTGATAGAAGGGTAATAGCGTACCAGGAAATCGCGGTCGCAATGGATCGAATTGCCGGCGAGGAAGGCAACGCCTTTTTCCGGGACGAGTTTCTTAATATACGCGAGGAGTTCCTCCGTGGCTTGGGCAACGGTTACGGTTGATTCTAGGACGCGGGCTATAAGACCTGTCTGTTGGAGGGGTTAGATACGTGAGGAGAGGAGGAGGAGGGAGGGTTACGGAGGAGTGTGTTTTCTGACACCAACCATCCATCTTGTCCAAGATCTCCTTCTCATAGTGAATAACTGTCTCGTACCCTTCCTTGTCTAGAAGATTCAATTTGTGATCCGTGATGTAGCAGCATATTTGCAAGATGACATCCTCGCTAGGATCTAGTCCCGTCATCTAACGAGAAAAAAAGTGACAGAGATTAGCCCCCCACAACAAATCCTCTCCCCTCCCCTCCCCTCCACATACCTCGCAATCAATCCATACAAGCGGTGCAATAGAAGTCCTTGACGTCATTCTCTCCAAATATCTCCCTGCTCCTCCTATCGTTGTGCCTTTGCTGCCGCTGTAGCTATACCTCTCTTTCCTAACGTTTGCCGCACAGGAGACCGCAAAGTGACGTTCGCATCCAAGACTTGGCGTCCTAACGTCGGTTATCGATAAGCGAGGCACGCTAGCTTTCTCCCAGAGCCGGTGGAGAGCCCCTGGCTGGCGGAGGTGAAGTTTGTGGGGGTTTGGGAGAAGCCTGAAGGGTTGGTGGAAGGGGGCTCCTCGGCAGGAAAGTACATTCATGGAAAGTCACCAGAGGATTCAACTCGTAGGCTTCTTTCTTCTTCTGACTGTGGTTGTTTTTTTGGCAGTTCTGCAGTCCGGAAGGGCGAGATCTTAAGCAATTGAAGTGTGTTATTTCCTCTCTTGGGTTAGTGAAATGCTTGTATTCTAGGGGTACTGCACTCGTACCGTACTCGTACTGTACTCGAGTACCTTACGTGATCGGCCAATAGCAACTTGTTCTGGAGTTCTATTGAGCCTCCCCTGCCGCGGGTGCACTCTCCCTGCGGACAACTGCGCATGGGACGCTGCCCAGGCCCCCGACATGCATGGCCTGGATCTGTACGCACAGCACAATCATCAATTGAACTGCTTGCAAGGCGGTGGGCGGGTGTACGAGTAGTTGCGGGAAATGAGTGAGTTCATATTTTGGGTTCGGAAGTGTATTTTCTCACACTTGTACTCGTACTGTGCTAGCACAGCAAGTGCGTGTCGCATCCTGCAACAAACAGAGAAAATTACTGAAATTAAAACCGAACCCTCCAGCCTTATGCATGGATGGTAAAGTTGAGTTGAAAAGATATCTTTCTACAGCAATTGAAGTTGCACAGGGGCTGCAACCGATGCAACGGTTCTCCTGTACGCAGAGGCGCTGTGTCGACAAGGGAAAAGATGCTTGGGGAACGAATAAAACTATTGCCAGCCACTGTGTGGGCAATTGTGTGATTGATTCTGGGAATGGACGTGTTTCTTGCAAACACAATGTGAGCACATGTCCTTGTACGGCTAGTGAATTGTGTGTCAGTAAGAATATTGCCTGTCATGGTATTCGAGTCTATTGAAAAAAGGAGTTCATGACGGGAAGTGTCCGGAAAGGATATCTCGGATCTTCATTACTCGTGTAAATGTTTTGCATCCCGGTGCCCCTTAATTCTAAATACCGTATGAGCTATGCCGCTCCAGAACGATGAGTGTAGAAACAATTATTGCAGCAGGTACGCTAACATCAGCTTCTGCACTTTTGTATATACAGAATACCGTATTTACTAGCTCTAGAATAGTATGTTTCGACAGATCACACACGCCCCGTTCACTCACTGGAGGGAGCGAGGGTCTATTTCCACCGCCTCACTTCCCCTCCTCTTGCTCTTCTTCTCAACCTTATTTCCCTCAGCTTTACACTCCACAGCTTTACCCACTTTTTTTGTCTTCTTCTCTCTAACAGCCGGCGCCTCCTCCTCCTCCTCCTCCTCCTCCTCCTCCTCCTCCTCCTCTCCCTCAACTTTCTCCTCCTCATCGACCTCCTCATACAACTCCTTCAATGCGGGTATAAAAGTCCCAAACCTCTTCACATCTCCAAGCCTAATTCTGCAGAGGTCAAACGCGACAAGCACTTCCAGCCCGCTCTCCTCTGCAGCACTCAAAATTGGCAACTTCGGGTATCGTTGGCTGAAATGCGTGAGAATGATGTTCTGTGCACCCATTATCTTTCCCGCGTTAATAGCTTCGCTAGTAGTGGAGTGTTTCTTGGCAATTGCTTCCGGGAGAAGTTCGTCGTCGAATGTTGCTTCATGAAGAAGAACTGTTGAGTTCCGGCCGATTTCAACGAAGCCTTTGGTAGGACGAGTATCCCCCGAGTAGGCAATTTTGAAGCCATTGTTCCAGGTCCATGAAGTAGTGAAAGAGTCCAGACAGTGAACTGCTCGAGAAGTTTGAATTGAGGCCAAGGATAGGGAATCAAGGACTTCGGGAAGAAGATGGACGGAGAGATTGTTGGGGCTATTTCTGTTCTTCCATAGGAGGTCTTCGCAACTGATGAATCGGATGTTGGAGAAGCCAAACTCTTCTACGTCGGCATATTCTCGGAGCCAGACATGAAACTTCAAGGGTGCAACAACGTTCATCAGCTGCTTCGTTTCAGAGGCGTCGGACGAGTAAATCTCGTTGTGCCACGCTTTTAAGACTGCTGCAGTGCCAAGGTGATGGTCAGCATGGAGGTGGGAAATATAGAGTCCTTTTAGACCTCTTAGGGCTGCCTTGAGCTCCGTAGGGTCGTACAATCTGCGAAGCTGCCCCAGGGTATTCTCGCCTGCATCCAACAAAATACTGCCAGCTCCGGGAACTTTAATGAGAGTCGCAGAGACATTGCGGTATTTGCTTGGGAGCGCCGAGCCAGTACCCAAAGTAATAACTTCCACATCTTTCCATGGGGAATCATCGCCGAGATTCTGAACATTGGCCTCACGAGCTATCCTCGCTAACTCGATGTACGCGGACTCTGTTTCCTGCAGGATAGCTTCCCTACTGAAAGGAGGCTTGATGGACCCCGTGTCAAATTCCCACCTTGGCTCAATTCCGAAGATCATTCCAGGCTTCGCAGGTTCCATGAACTCGTCCACCTGGGAGGGAACCCCATCAGTGGAATACGGCAAGGGAAAGAATTTCTCGTCCAGCAAATTCAACTTTGTCGATGACTTTGCAGCCCCCTTGAAGGTGATTGAGTTGGGGCAGACGTCTGGGGCACTGATGATGTGTTTGGAATGCCCCATTCGCTTCATGAAAGCCCGGAGTCTCTCATCTGCGGAAACTCCAGTTCCGAGAATCCAGAAGAAACACCCAACTTCAATTCTGAGCTTCTCGGTATCTCTCCACTCCTCTCTCGCAAGAAAGTCTTCGATATAGTTCGCATCCGGTAAGTCACAAATGGCAACACCAGTCCCGGGCTTCATTGGCTCCATCACATCCGCGGGCTGTACGACGTTTCCGTTAGGAGTCGTGATTGTCTTGCCTTCTGTCAATCGACCGAAGTCCGGCCCGGGAATGACACCTAATTCCCTGGCCTTAACAGGAAGGAATTTACCACGCTGAGGATGCAGCGTTACAATGTATGATAGAGCAATACGTGTGGGATGCGACCGCGGGAGCGAGCGAACTGTAGATGCTGGCCAAGGTGCTCTGGTCTTTCCCGATGGTGGGAGGGTTGTTGAGAGGTTTGGGTCTCGCTCTAGAATAGGCTTTGGTCGCTTTGGCGGGCTAGTGCTTCTATTTCTACCCGTACCATGGCTTGGGGGTGCGGGTGGCGATTCAGCAAGAGCATCAGTAGAAGGCCCCGGATCATCAAGGGGATCCCCATCTTCAATCATTGTGTCCATACTCCAGTCCGAACAAAACATATTCTCTACCACACTACGGAGAATTGTATCTCGTTGTTCCTCAATGTTGGTGATCTCATCGAACGAGCGCTTCCTAGTAGCGCGATCAACATTCCCCACCGCTGACGAACTTCCTGTCTCAATCTCTCTTGCCGAATCCTTGAGGTCTTTCTCCGGGTAAATTTGCATGGCATGAACAATCAGGTTTTCATCCCTGAAATATGGTGCTTGGGAAACTTGCTCTTTCCTAGCTTCATCACTCCTGGTTGCTGGAACCTCGCTCAGCCTCAAGTTCATTGCTCTCCTAAAAACAAATGGCCGTGTAGTAGCGAGTGAATGCAGTAGATTCTCTCCACCGTGAACCGTAATCCCCTTTCGCTCATTGGGTTTTTTCTTCCTTGTCGCAGCCCGAGGATCGTTAAGACTGTCCGAGGCTTTTGCGGCATCCTGATCCGCCATAGTCAATATAAGCCCAACCAAACCACCAATAGTCTGCCATTCCGTGCGACCAGAGAGAAAGATATCGGATATCTTTGTAAGCCTTATCGACCGTTCGATGAACGCCCGCTGAGCTCCTTCCCCGATATGACCGAGAAGGTAGCGTTTTCTATCAAAGTGGAGTAGAATGCATGTCCCGGGAGTATCTGAGGTGGGAGTGGTCGCAACTGTGCATTGGACCTTCATTTTTAAGAATGCCGAGCAGGAGAAGGACCGGTGCAGAAGGGATGGTTGCAGAGGGATTGGAGTCCTCCGTGAGAGAATGGAAGGGAGAAGAGCCAATGCTGCAGATTTCCCCGCAACCCAGGTGAAGTGGACGGGTTATACAATGGCTTTTATGGTTGGCGGCTAGATACCGGTATTATTCGGGCAGTGTTAGACGGTAGTGAGTCTTGCAGCTGGAGGAGGTTTGTCAGTTCTTGGCCTGTTACCGCACTGGCGGCAGATTTGATACCAGTAATTTTTATTTCTAGAGTGGATGGTACAAGTACTTGTAAGTTACACTATCACACAGAGCGAGGCTAGGTTATCCAGAATTGGGGTTCTGGTAACCAACTTAGGCCACTTCTGCAGACTGCCCTTGGAATACTGGAGTCTTAATAGCTTAATTACGAAAAATTGATTCGAAACACCTATTATAATTTACCGTGGATTAACACAAGGTAAGTTATGGTGCTGTCAAGGTTCAGACAATTCCTTGTTCCTCCCTGACTCGGTATGAGCTTGAGGCTGAAAACATGCAAGTCTTGGCAACACTTTCAGTGACGTCGGTAATGCCGCTCTCGAATCTGATGCAGTAAATACTCGTACTTGTAAACCTACGATATGTAGAACTCCACCCTGTCCCACGGCGGTAAAGCTATCACTCAATATTTCTGGTTCAATCACCGGCCAAGTGCAGCGAACTCCCAGAGATAGTAATCATGGCCAGCCCTGCAAAAAGGAGGAAGAAGAATCTCCCCAACACTCAGCCAACGGGGACTCTTCACTACTTCTTCAACAAGCAAACAGCTACCAAAAGGCAAACCCCAGACTCAGCTCCTGCACCAGGCCCCCAAATAGGACGGGCCACACTCACGGATGAGCAATACGCAAAGATGTTGGCAGAGGAATGGAATCAGGAGGATGAAGCTGGCAGAAATGCGACGTCGTCAATGCACGGAGAGAGTAGTAGGACAGGAGCGAAGAGGGGTAGGAGCAGCTCCCCAAGCTCAAATTGCGCGGCACCGAGCCTTCCTGCGCCCAGTGAAGAAGAGGGATGGAAAGCCGGTCCAGCGTTGGCAGCTCCCCAGGCGTCACGAGTGGTCACCCCCGCGCAAAAACCAAGTGCCCCAGGAACCCCACAAACACCAAAGAAAATCGCCATCTCGGCAGAGGATGCTCGGGAGATAGAAAGAACTATTGATTTGATGCCGTTTGGTGGAGACCCACTGAAATTTGACCCCGACAATTACCAAACCTTGGCCCAGAAATGGGCAGGTGGGAAAGCCACTTATGCACTCCTCACTCACGCATTCGTCTTGATAAACTCTACCCGGTCAAGGATAAAGATTGTGGATACGCTAGTGAATTTCCTAAGAGTTTTGATACGGCTTGATCCGGACTCTTTGCTTCCGGCGGTACGTAGTTCATAATGTCCACAACATTGATTGCCACTCGTGCTAATATTCCCGAAGGTTTGGCTAACGACAAACGATATCGGGCCTTCGTACGAGACGAATGAGCTTGGGATTGGTGGGTCAATACTATCAAAAGCGATTATGAAGGCCAGCGGGATCACACCAGCAGCACTTAAGAAGTTGAATTACAAGCACGGTGATCCGGGGGATGTTGCTTTTGAGGCAAAGGTTAAACAGAGAACCTTGACGATGAAGAATCCAACTCCACTTAGTACGTTGTCAAATCTTTCCCATGCCTTCTAAAGACGATAGACGTGTAACCGGTCAAATGCGGTGTCAATCAGCTATCGAAAATGTATACAAAACACTAGTCAAGATCTCCCGAACCTCCGGGAAAGGCTCCCAAGAGATCAAGCAACGCTATATAGAACGCTTACTTGTCGACGCTAAAGGCGAGGAAATCCGATACCTCACTAGAACTCTGATACGTCATCTCCGAATCGGTGCCGTAAAGACCACAATGCTAATAGCGCTCTCTCGCGCCTTCCCCCTATCTGCTCCTAAGGGAGCTGACTGGAGCACCCCAGAAATACCAGATAGCAAAGAAGAAAGGCAAGAGTTATTTACCAGAGCAGAGGAAATCCTCAAGCAATGCTACGCTAGGAGGCCAAATTATAATGACATAGTCCCGTGTCTGCTCAGAGGTGGAATATCCTCCTTGGAGGAAAACTGTGGAATGAGCCTTCACGTCCCTCTGAAACCAATGCTGGGTAGTGTCACTCGTGACTTGGGAGAAATGCTCTTGAAACTACAGGGTCGTGAATTCAGTTGTGAGTATAAGTATGATGGGCAAAGGGCTCAGATACATTGTGATGATAACGGGAGGGTTTCTATATTCAGTAGACACTTGGAATTGATGACAAGTAAGTATCCAGATCTAGTGGGGCTAGTGCCCAATATTCGGGGCGAAGGCGTAGCGTCTTTCATCATGGAGGGAGAGGTTGTGGCAATAGATACCGAGACAGGGCTCATAAAGAACTTCCAAACATTGGCCGGGAGAGAAAGAAAAGACGTGGATGCTGGGAGAATTAGTGTTGATGTCTGTCTGTTTGCGTTCGATCTTATGTATTTGAATGGTCAGGTAGATCCCTCTTATTCCTCTCGCTTATGAACGGACCTACTCTAACGAGATACAGGAGTTACTCTCCCGGCCATTTCGCGAGCGCAGAGAACTCCTACGGAGCATGTTTGCCGAGATACCGTGCCGCTTCGCATGGGTCAAGAGTCTTGACGCTAAATCTGAAGACGCGGATGCCATCCAGGGCTTCTTCCATTCATCGATAGACCTCAAATGTGAAGGAATAATGGTAAAAGTTCTTGACAACAGCTTCACCCTTCCGGCCTCCGCACCTTCCGAAGGGGCAGAAGAATTAGAACCCGATCAACCCCGTCCTAGAAAGGGGAAAGGAATAGCCCTTTCCAAGAAAGGCTCTCGGGCAAAACCTTTACTGGCGACATACGAACCCGACAAGCGTCTTGAGGTATCGTAATTCCAGATCTCACTGGTTCTATTGTGGTAGTTAACATCTCACCAGTCCTGGCTAAAAGTTAAAAAGGATTACATCACTGCAACCGACACCCTCGACCTAGTTCCGATAGCGGCCTGGCACGGCAATGGCCGGAAATCCGCCTGGTGGTCGCCGGTCCTCCTAGCGCTCCACAACCCAGAAACCGGCGCCTTCGAGGCCGTTTGCAAATGCATGTCTGGATTCACGGACAAGTACTACATCGAAATGAAAGCCAAATTCGCACCAGACGGAATAAATACATCCACAACTAAGAAAGCATACTATGAGGTCACCGATATCTTGACTCCAGCAATTTGGTTCGAGCCCAGGGAAGTGTGGGAGGTAGCGTTTGCGGATATTACGGTTAGCCCAACATATACCGCTGCGGGAAAATTCATGGATGGAGGAGAAGGGAGAGGTAAGGGGCTGAGTTTGAGGTTCCCGAGGTTTGTGAGGAGGAGGGATGATAAGGGGATTGAGGAGGCTAGTACGCCAGGGTTTTTGGCGGGTACGTGGAGCTTTACACAGGCGGAATTTTGCAGCTAACCCCTTTTTTAGATTTGTTTTTTAAGCAGGAAAGAGGCGGGAGGCGGTTTAATAAGGTAACAGTGGATGGAGAGGAGAAGATTGAAAGGGTAGGAAAGAAGGCTGAGCTAGATGGCCAAGAGGGAGGCGAAGACAGCAGCGAAGGCACTGGAAGTGATACCAATTTGTGAGAGTTATCAACCCCGTGCCAGAGCATGCCGGCATAGCATAGACGGGTGTGACAGAAGTCCAAGTACGAAGTCCAGAAATAAGTAACCCTGGACCTTTTCTCTTGCAGCTAGTGTTGTGGCCATGATCTACGCTACTGGAATTTTACTCCCTTTATTAGGGCCCTAGGAATTATATCTAAGCTATAGCAGTAAGCCTCCCACACTCACATCCAGACCGCCGGGGGATCCCAGCTTGTGTTTTCCCTGTTGTTTTGTTAAAAGGAAGTCAAGGTTATCCAGCCATGACCCAAATTAGCGGTATAGAGAAGGAAGCCAAGGGAATTCCCATACCCGTGCAAGAAAGAATAGCCTACTGGTATATCCCCCGCAAGACTAGACACCCACACTGCAGCAACTTTCTAATTGAACCATACCGAAAACAAGAGCACGATAATCTCAGCAAGTGAACCATCAACCAATCTCCTTCGCACACTAGACCAAACCCTTGCATTTGATATCTTTTTGTGGAGACAATTGGGGTTTGGGCCGCTGCGTGTCTCGGCTACTAACATGCCTTATGTCGCGTAGAAAAACCCCTGTGTGGCTCAAGGTAAACTCTCACTGGCAATGATTGTCATTTGATTCGCTTTCTGTCTACAATACACCTTCATCCCTCCACTCACAGCATTTCATCTCTCGGTTCCCCATATCATAAGCCCGCTCCTCCCAAAATCTCCTCTTAACCGTCATCCTTCCATTCCTACTTCACTACCAGCTCCCCCACCACACCTACACACTCTCCACGACCCATTCCGACAACACAGCTGCTTGAGCTCCGAAGAGATGTCTGTTATTCCACCCACCGGCATCGAAATGGATATCCAAAAATTCTCAGTTAAAGCCCCCTACCAGGCTGGTTACACCGGCACCCCTGCTCACAACCAGGATGGCCGCAATTGACGCACTTTCCATCATTCACAAACCGGCATTCACTAAGACTATTCAGAGCCCCACACGGGAAACAGAGCCAGGAAGTATAACACCCTTCGCATCTTGCCTTACCGCACTCTTTGCAGAACTGGTACTCAATCAGGCCCCACGAGGTCTTGTTGAATGTACGACATTTACAGCAAGACCAGGGCTTAGCGCTTTCAGGCTCCCTCCAGGTGGACGTTTGACCACGAGATGAGCCTGGGGAATTGGTTGAAGTGGCGTTTGAAGTAACTTTCTCCTTCGCTGGAGTGGCGTTTGCAGTAACTTTCTCCTTTGCCGGAGTGGTGTTTGTAGTAACCTTCTCCTTTGCCGGAGTAGTGTTTGCAGTAACCTTCTCCTTTACCGGAGTAGTGTTTGCAGTAACCTTCTCCTTTACCGGAGTAGTGTTTGCAGTAACCTTCTCCTTTCCCGGAGTGGCGTCTGCAGCACCCTTCCCCTTTGCCGGGGTGGAGGAGTTTTTTTTCTTTTCCTTCTTTGGTGTCATGATGCGCGCTTTGTTAGTATGGTAAATGATTGAAAATATCGCTATGGTTTCTATGTTAGGAGTGTGTATGCGTAGAAGAAAGTCTGCGAATTGGAGCCCAGTTTGGCAATGGAGGGAATATATCAATGTTCCGGAAATGACTGATTGAAAGTACTGTAGGTCTCATGATTCTCCATGAGCGTTGAGATCTTGCAACATTCTTCAATTTCAAGAACCAGTACAGTTTTCCAACTTGTTTGTGAGTTTTTCAAGACGTTCCTCATTGTTATTGGAGCCTAAATCCTTTATTAGGGTTCATTCTCTTCTATCATGCTTTCTCTATCAACCCGCCTAAACAGTGTTTGTAGTATCTCATGCTAGATAATTACCTACCACCAAATAGCTGTCTGAATCTGAAAGCGCAAGCATATAGTAGAGAACATGAAACCTTCTCGACCTTTCAACATCTTTCCACAGCCGTTGCTGGTAACAAACACCAGTGCTTCCAATCCCGCAGCAATCACAATATTCAACTGGTCTGCTCATCCCAACAATAGCGCCCAAATACGTTTCACATATCAAAGACACAAAGCCAAGGCAAGATATATCTCTGAGTCATCTTCCCATGCCCAATCCATAAATTCAGGCATCCTATTTCACTCTATTTGAAATCGAAACATATCACCCGAGGAGGGAGGCATTCCTTTTTCGCAATTCGTCTCGTCCCAAATGATCTATCTAGCTAGCTTGATATGCGGGAGGGCTATCATGAGCTCTCCCTACTACTATGGCCAGCGACACTACAGAACCCTCTCTAGGCCGCATTTTGTCAGGGTGGCATGTTATACTTTTTCTCTCCCCCTTTTCCGCCCACCCGGGTCCACCAATAAAGTGTTGGTTAATAAAGACCGTCAGTGACATCAGGACACTTCTATACCGTAAAATGAATATCACGCTTCCCAGTAAGTTTATTTCAAGAACTAGACACAATAGTAAAATTTCCTTTCATGGCTGGGCATCTAGTATTATAGAAAGGGCTTACAGCTCTTAGAACACCATTCCGGGCTGTATCGTAAAATACCATACCCGGCTAGTGGGTATCGTATTTTAGGCCGGGGACTGACTGACTAAGTACGAGGGTAAGAATATTGGGCTCTCTCTCGCGCGCGTGCAGTGATGGGGGGACCCGGCGGTAGCTGTGCTATTTTTCCCTGCCAAGGCTGACTTATTAAGCTTCAAAAATTAGATTTTTAGGGTTAAACTATAGGATATCATGATCTGGTGGCTTAGATTAATTGGACATGATTTCTATTTTATAAGTTAACTAATTCAGAAAAACATACCACAATAGGGTAGGTATTATTAAATATAGAACAATACAGGATTCCAGTGCTGAAGGTACTGATACTTGCCTATGACTTTTGTATTATAATCAATGCTTTGCTGCTTAGATAAAATCAATAGAGTCATAATTATAATTACCTCAACACGCACCAATAATTCTCTCTAACCTCTTAGTGAGCCCTCAAATTTGTTGACTATCAATTGACTCAAATACTTCTAGAATTAGGCTGCTTAAAGCCTTAACCTATAAGTTATCCTAACCCTTTAATATAATTTTTACAGCTAGTATCTACTACAACAAATAATTAACTTACCTCAACTATCATAGCTGTATCTCCCTGAAAGATATCTATATCTTAGAACTCTGCTTCCAAGTTCTGCTACTAGTATATCATATCATAATATATAATACTCAGACCTGAGCTATCTTCCATAGTATTATTTAAGTTTATTTTATTAAATTCTTTCATACTAGTTAAATAATATAATATAATATATAATATAATATAAATAATAGAATACTCTTATATACTTATTCTGACAAAACATGATCTAAGAAAACTAAGCACTATTAATATATTTTAACTGCAATATTCAAGTTTTAACCTAATATAAATTAAGAACAAAATACATTCAGGCTGGCAAATATATGTATTATCAAATTAATTTTTTCATTTTATTTATAGTACAGGATAATTCATAATTAAATAATAAAATTCTAATTAGCCATAACAAAACAGTTATTTAAGTATTAACAGGTATAGTTAATATAATTTTTTTTTACTTTGATCAAAAATACAAGATTTAAAAGCTAAATAAAGGTTTGTAAAAATAGAATAAAAACTTAAACATGCTTAAAAAAAGACTACTAGACTCTTTATAGTCATCTGATCTTTAGTAAAGTTGTTTTTTTCAAAATTTCAACTTCTTATATAGAAGCTCTATTATTGGTTTTTTGAGATAGAATGATATAGAACTCATTTTGAAGTACTTGAATCATGCTCAGTATTCCAATAATTCTTCTAAGCATATTTATTAAATTTAGTACTTATCTATCAATCAATCTAATTTCATTTTCAAGTTATTTAATTTCTTCTAGTACTTTCCTTACCACTTTGTTTAAGATTAGTCACTATTTGAGTATTTCTTCATCTCTTCTCCATTAGTCTTACAACTATACAGTCATACCATATTCAACTTGAATTATAGTATTACTATCCTTTCATTATCTAAGGTTCACATGTTTTTTTTCCACTCTCAGGTTTTGTCAAATCCCTTCCTCTGAGGTTTTCACACTACCTACCTTGGATTCCCGATATTTCCCCTCCCTCATAGATGGTAAGAAAATCAAGCTTCTTTCTAGTCAGCAGTCATATCAATTCACTTATTCACTGAATGATAACTCATGACGCAAGAAGTTCGGAACTAAATTTAACTCCACTATTAAATGTGCCAACTCGAGCATTGAAAAGTTAAATCTAGGCTATGTCATGGTATGAACTTAAAATAAATGTAGTTCAACCCGTCTACTAAATAACGCTCCAGATCCCTTTTTTATAATGCACCAGCACCAGCACCAGCGCCCACTCCCACTCCCACTCCCACTCCCACTCCCACTCCCACTCCCACTCCCACTCCCACTCCCCCCACGGCTCGCCTAGAGATTTGAAAAAGAAAGCCTAAAATCACCGGACCACAAAAGCCCCAGCCTCCGCCGAGACGAGGTTATCCTCCAACGCATCGAACACATCCTCGGTCTCATCGGCCCACTCACCCCTAGTCCTGAGGCTAGAAACCTCTCTAACGAAGGCGGCAAGTGTCTCCCCAACGCCGCTCTCATGGAGCACTTTCCCGACGGCCAGGTGAAATGCCAAAGAGTCCCGATCTGGCAATTCAACACTCCTCCTCCCTCCACCAAAGACAAGCATGGAGGATGGAATCTTGAAAGAAATGGGACCCCTGCAAGCCTTTTCCGCCCTGTACGCAGTGTTGGGCTTGGTCGGATCGTCAATGATGGAGCCGGCGGCTGTGGCCATGCTGGTGGTCGCGATGCCCCAGTTATAGGAGATGAAGTCACGCTGCGCATTAGCTTCCAGGATCAGCCCGTTGCGCGGGTGATTGAGGGAGGAAGCGCGCACGTGGGAGAGTGGGAGACCAGTGAATATCTGAAAGTACTTTTGCAATAACGGGCTCTTCAGAATCTGCAGGGGGATGATGTGCGCCAGGTCGAGGTGAACGGCTGTCTGCACAGTCTGCGGGAGGTAGGGTCTGTTCTTGTCGTAGGCACCCGTCAGTGGACAGCGGTACCCGTCGCGAATAAGGCAGCGGTTCTTTTGGCAGATCAGTTGGTTTAGCTGTGCAGGGGCGAGAGCTGGGAAGTGCTGCTTGTTGTTCACTAGAATAGAGGAATACGTTAGTGCTTAGACTTTCCCAGCTAAGTGGGTGAGGGGGAGAAAGGGAATCCACATGGGATCAGGAATCCATCCACCCATCCACGGCAATACTTTTCAAACCTGTCCCCAAACCCCGGCTTGAGGAAGAGGCCTCTGAAGTAGTCGGGTATCCCACTCGTCTGCAGGTTCTCGAGATTCTTCACGGACCTTGGACCAAAGACACAGCGCAGGAGATGCTCGGCGACGGAACCGGAATCCGGCGCGTGAGCAAGAAGGGCATCGCAGAGGCTCACTTGACAAATTTTATACCTTAAGCTACCCTGTTGTGTGAGTGGAATACTCGGGAGGCCGACTTTGGGCTGGTTCCGGCAATGATCCTCGTAAAAGGCTGCGAGGAACATATCTGCCCATGACACCAGAATACTACTGCAAGCTTTCTGGGGAATTGTTTTCCTTGGAGGGGTCATTTTTTTTTCCCGTTTTCTCACCTGTGATGTTTGAACAGAGATATGTTTCGTGGTGAGTGGATGGAATTAGTTGATGATTGGGAGGGAGAAGTTCCGCATATAAATAGGATCCATGAACTTTTTGGGTTCAACCAAGATTTGCCCTTATTTTTCAAGCCTAGAAGTTAAGGGTCAGTCAGGGCGGTGTAAGGGTTGCGGTTTTGGTAGTTTGATTTAACTTCTGTCTTCAAGGTTTTCCTGTCGAGTGCCATTCCATGATGGGCGCTGCAAGGGGACACCCGCCGAGCCTCACACGCCTTGGCAACACTGGTCTCAATCACATGTTTCCCACTCAGGAACCACACTTCTCGACACTTACCACAACATTTACCTCAAACACCAAGAACTCCACCACAAAACCACATTCGAACCGAAAACCAAAAACCCTCAGCATTCTCTAACCGAAACTCGATGGCCCCCCCACCAAGTGGCGCTCTTAAAAATGTGGAAGGTAAGTTACCCCGCTGGTCCAGCTATTTTACCGGCTGCTGATATGACAATCCAGAGAATCTCCGCGCCGTGATTGAAACACTCTACGAGATCTCGGTAGGAGTCCATGAGTTTCAAGGTCCCGAGTCGGTAGATGTCATAGCCAACCTTATGTCGCTCCCCACTCCCCACTTCCTTCGATTTCGTTCAGTCGTCTAATATCGTCTAGAAACAAACTTTCCACACAATACCAAACCCTTGATTCCGTGGCCGCCAAGCCCGAACTCGACGTCGCAGTACCTCGCGAGGTCATCCAGTACATCGAAGACGGTCGCAATCCCGATATCTACACGCGCGAGTTTGTCGAGATTGTCGTCAAACAGAATCAGTTCATGAAAGGCAAGATGGAGGCATACCGGGACTTCCGTGATGTGTTGGGGGATCAGATCAAGGTTTCGTTTCCGGAACTCAGGGAGAAGGTGGATGAGGTTATTGAGGCAACAGGAGGGCGAAGCAAAAAGGAGGGAGGTCAGAATGGTGGCGGTTCTTGACCGCCATGGTTACGGGTGACCCTATTGTCTCTTTTTTTTTCTTCCTATTTCCCTTAAGTTACAGTGGGCGTTACGGTATTGTTAGTAATTTTAAGACCCGAGAACTTGAGTGAGGGGAGTCGTTTTCATTCTCAATCAACACCCAATGCTGTTGATACTGGACATTTTGTAATGGTGCTGGATTGCAGGATGCGCATGTCTTGCTGCAAAAAAAAATGTCGCGGAAGAAGGGAGTTAACTCCGTATGGGTTTCCTTGTACCGTGCGGAGCCCGGAACATTTGCACCGATTTTTCTATTACACAGGGAGATGCTTGCAGCTGGGAGTAACTGTGCATCCTAAACATCAATAAAGGCACCGTACAGTGCTCGTCGGCTATGGCTTCGGAAACAGTTCTCAGTCCTAAGGCATCCATATCCTATCACTGACGAGGGCCAGGATCGCCCATGATATGTGGCATCTACACCGGTATACCTGCTGAAAAGTATTGACAAGCAGGCGCAGCCAGTCAAAGAGCATGAAGCATGGCCCAATACCGGCATCACCAGACCCGTACGAGTTGAAGAGTGCCGGGCTGGGATACTGCTAACACCGGTAACTTACAATGTTTCTCCACAAAGTGTGCCCCGGGTTGCGAGCATTCACCATCTATTAACCTGTGTTTGGTGGGCTGCGTGGCTTTAAAGCACACCGGTACCATGGTTCAAAGAATGCCGTACCGTAAGCAATGCAGGGTGCCCGCTCTGTAGGGAAACATTGTACGATAGCTTGTTTCGTCCGGGTGATCATATGGGTTCAATGTTCCTGTGGAGTGATGCAAGTAGGGTATTTGATCAAGTTCACGAGCTATCAGGATAGCCAAAGCATGCTACGATACCGGTATTCCGGTGCTATTCAGGTCATCGTTGCCAAGGCAACCGGTCAAAGTGAGTTGTACCGCTGGTCGAGTTTTAAATGCTTGGCTAGCGGGCAACGGGGACACTGTGTACTGGGCTCTATGTATGTTTGATCCCCAACGTTGATCCAAGCCGCCGCATAGGATCACAGCCTGAAGACCGCAAGCCCGCAACCAAACCCAAAGCACGAGTTGCCCATCAATACCTCCGTATCATACACAGCGGAGAAGCGGAATTACAATCTCACCGCGTCGCCCCATCACAAACGACGGACTGCAATGGGCCAGCAAGCGCAGAAGCACAAGTCGGTTGAAAGAAGCAGAGGTAAGCTCCATGTCATCCCTGTCTGCCATGACCATAAAGTTCTTTCTTCCACTTTCTTCCGGTGCCCTCGTGTATAATAGCCTCCCTCTATGACCGAACCCTACCACGGACGTGGAGCTATGATAAGAAGAATAGCGTCCGCACCCGCGCTGAACAGGTGCTTGATGAGATATCTGCCCAAAGCCTGAATCCTTCCCCTCCTTGCTTCGTTTCTAGCTCCCCCTATGGCCTACCGGTATGGCTCCCCCACCCGTGCTGACTCACAGATCTATAGCACCGTCCTTCTTCACGGCCGCCTTTCATCCGAGCAAGTCTCGCGAGTATCGCGAGCATAGGCCATCTAACCATTCGAGCAATGCTGTTATACGTTCGATAGCCTGGAATAATCTCGGAAATCGAATTGCCTGCGGTCTCAACACAAACCTTGTCCGAGTTTGGAATCCCGATAAACCCGAAGCCAAAAACAGTACCGAGCTCAAGGGTCATCTGAAGGATGTCGAGAAGGTTGTCTGGGACCCGATGCATCCGGATAAATTGGCAAGTTGCTGTAATGGCCAGGTCAAATTCTGGGACTATAGGAGTCAGTTTGATCCTCTTGTCCGGATAATGCTTGACCGGGTTGCTGATGAGGATGGGTGATTTTAGTCAATAGATGCCTGGGAACCACGGTTACTACAGGTGACAATGTCAATCTAGCATATCACCCGGATAGCAAGGTGCTCGCTGTTGGTACAAAAGTAGCTTACATCCTGCATCCCTTGTGCTCCTCCAGTATGCTGACCGCCTACAGGATGATAGAATCCACTTTATAGACCCACGCAATGCCAGTGCAATCCTCAAAACCCATAAAGAAGGCACCCAGAGTAATCAGGTGACGTTTTCCCACAACGGTGAATATGTTCTCATCACAACTAGTCTGGGCAAGATTGTCGTTCGCAACTGGCCCTCTCTCGAGGAGGTCTATAGTGTTGACGCACATCACTCTGCCCTCAATTGCTTACAGCTTGATCCTCGTGGATCAACCCTGGCCATCGGTGGTAGTGACGCGGCTCTGAGTCTTTGGGACACCGCGCACTGGGTTTGCCTCCGGACTTTGACTAGAATGGATGCGCCCATCAAAAGTATGGGTTACTCCTTCGATGGCGCCTATGTTTGTGCGAGTAGCGACGAATCTACTAACATTGAGATTGTATGTCTCCTGAATTGCCCCTTGGGTATACCTTAGCTGACGGCCATTTTGTAGGCCCATTGTGATACCGGAGATTACGTTCACACCATTCAAACAAACCATTCCATACCTAATATCGCCTGGCACCCTAATAAGTATGTTTTGGCATATACTGGCGATCCGGTTGGATTGAAGATTATGGGTATCAATGCCGTATAGTGGGTGGTCAACCTCGGCCAGGCCCTTTCCAAATCATCCGGGGATGCGTTATCAGTGTTACCAAATTTATTCTATACTTTGCCCCAATACCCACGCTCACAGCATCTAGTAGATTACTGCAATGTCCTGCACTATACCTCATATTACCTCGTGGTCGAATTCTATGCCAGGAACGAACGAACTACAAGTCAATCATTGATATCCTCATGAACTCCTCGTTATATATAAAAGAACCCCCTTGAGAAAAGACAAACTCCCATGATATTACCCCCAAATTATGCTCCTAATCCCAATCGTCATCATCACTTTCCGCATTCTTTCCCCCACTCCCAGTACCGCCACCAACCCCACCAGCATCCTCATCAACCTTCTCCCTCACCAAAACCCCACAAGCCAACAGCCTCAGCTCGAGCATCTTGGTACTAAACCCATCCGTATTCCCCAGCTCGGCAAAGCCCTCGATCCGATCCACGCTCTTCCCATCTATGAAAGCGATCACACACGGCAGCACCCGAACCTTCAAGCGCTCCACGAGGAAGGGCGCCTTCTCGACGTCGATGCTGGCGAATTTGGTGTCAAAGTGCTTCCGCGCCAGCACCTCCAAGTGCGAGTCCATGATCTTGCAGCGGTTGAAATCCTTGTGGAAGAAGTGCACTACGCTGAATTTAGTTGAGGTGGTGTGCGTTAACACTTCGCGCTCGTTCGTGGCCGGGCTGTAGGCGCCGTGAGAGAGGGATTGCATTTTGCGAGCGCGGTGGAGTCTGGATGTTATTTGTTAGCATTGAGAGAGAGGATGAGAGAAGTAGAAGGGGGAGGGAGGGAGTGGTACTCGTCGTGCAGTTGCTGCATGCGCTTCTCGCGGAAGGCGTCTAGAGCTGCGGTGTCTGATTCGAGTTCTTCCAGAAGGGTGTCTTCATCGCCGTCTTCATCTTCTGAACGGTCTTTGTCCAAAACTTTTGCGACGGTGGGGTCGATAGTAGTCATGTTTCGATTCTGTCCTTCCTTTTAGAAGAATTATTGGAATTGGTATGGTGTTGTGGTAGCTGTATTCAATTATATGATTATCATATATGCGTGAATATTATACGAGCATCGTGGGGCGAGGAGAGCAGAGAAACCCCTCCAAACTTGGTTGCCCAATGCCCAGCAAGCCCGTGCCCACGTGACCCACGCGAGAAACCCTCATGCTATTATCACACACCAAACAGCACCTCACTTGCCCCCACTACGGCAGCCGACGGAAGCGGAAAGCCACACCACCACCACCGCCATTACCACAATATGGATTTCCCCCTCCCACAGGTCCAATCCTCATTAAAACCATACATCCAGACCCCCTCGGAGGCGACCTACATCCGCCAGGTAGTAACCCAACACTTGACCAACCTCTCCGTGGAAAAACGCACGACTAGCGGCGTCGGGAGCCGCGACGAATTCCGACGCTTCCTTGATTTCGAATTGGGTCGCGGAGGGGGGGGGAGTGGTAACAGCAGGTACATCCGAAAAGAGTATCTGGAGGCACTACGCGAAGAAGCGGAGGCTAGGAAAGCTCTGGAAGCCGAAGATATCGAAACCGACGGCGACGAGGATGACGACGAGGGGGAAGAGCAGGAAGGGGAAGGTAATAGATGGATAGAGGAATACACATCGACCTTATCCCTAACGCGCCAATTCGAAAAATTGGAGATCCTACAGATTTACCTGCGCACCTTCAATGATCCCGCTGTTCTCGAGGCGGAGGATAAACATAAGATTCTGTTCAACGACTCACCGCCCAATCCCCCGTCGGAATTGACGGCGGCCATCGCGGCGCGGAGTAGCGGTAATGGTCCCGTGTCGGCTGGCGGTAATGGTGGGGGCATAACGGAGAATTTGTCCAATCGTTTGCTGACCTTGGAAAAGACAATACTGGCGACGCACGATTCGCTGCAGTGGGAGTCTGAGCGGCTCAGGGAGTTGCAGACCAATGGGCAGGATGGGGGGGGTGTGAGAAGGGGGAGTAGGAAGGAAGCGTTTGCTCAGACTAGGGATGCGTTGATCACTTGGGTTGAGTCGCAATTATCTCACACAGCGACTATCGATGGGCCCGATGCCCCTACCGCTTTACCCGTGCCTACGGATGGCGGGGAAGTCTCGGGGGCGAGGGAAAGAAGAGAAAAGACGAGCCTTGAAGACATACTCTCTGACATCAACGCTTCCTACGAAGAATACCTCACCGCTCGCCGCCAAGTGGTAGAAATCCTCTCAGCTGTGACTCGGACCCTCACTCAACCCACCCCCATCAGAACCCCGCACCCCGAATCCGCACCCACTGGCGCAATCACGGCTACAAAAACCCCACCCCTAACACCCCCACTCCCCCCTCCCCTGATCCTAAAAGTCTTATCAGCGGTGGAGCAACTGATCCCACTCATAAACTCGCAAAAAGCCCTCCTCTCGCAAAAGACGTTCTTCCTCTCCGCCCTTGCATCCCGCCAAAAATCCCTCCTCACCACGCTAGAGGAAAGAGCCGACGACAATAGCACCTTCACCATCGCCACTGCCAGGGCACGAAGCGGTGGCAGTAGTGCCAGCGTGCAATTGGCCAAGCGCATTGTAGACAAGGAGTCGGTCAAGATGGAGAAATTCGGGAAGGAGGTTGCGGGCTATGTGCGCTCTGCAGGTAGGACTCTAGAGGATGCGTATGCGCTGTTAGCCGAAGTTGAGGGGTTGGTGGTTCGGAGGAAGGGGAAGAAGATGGAGAAAGAGAAAGAAGGGGAGACGAAGATCCCCATTCGCAGAAAGGGGAGGAGGAGGGTGCCCGAGGAGGAGGAGGTGGAGGTGGAGAAGGGCTTTTGGGGCACGATCGCTGGGAACGTGGGGGTTATTGGGGATGGGATTTGAAGGACTATTGCTGGTCCCTTATCTTAGATGGTTTGGTGAGCGAGTGATTATTTGTGTTGCATGAGCGTGGAGAAGAAGTGATACTGGCGTTGTTGCGGATTCCTATAATATACCCACCGTATTATATATATACTCTTTATAATATTAACACACCGGTGCATAATATTTGTTACATTTGCACGAGCCGTCCCCTCCCACAACGGAGGAGGAATCATGAAGGGGGCCCTAACGCATACTAAGTACGATAGTCGCTACCGTATGCATGCCAGACTCGAGTACTCACCTGGCCATTGATAAAGTATTTATTCGGACGCTTGACACCAACAACAAGTTGCCAATAATGAACGAACTGTTCCAAATACCCTATAAATAGCCAAGTGCGGCATCATACTTACAGTATTTACACTACAATATAAAATCAAAAACTAAATTAAACTCCCATCACAAATCTGCAAGTTCCTGTAACAACCCGGTTTCCGAAATGCCCCCCTCCCGCCCCGCCTGTTAGGAGGATAAGTGCTGCAGGACTATCGTGCGTGGCTCACATACAGTGCAGTACTATTGAAATGTTGAAATACCTTGTGTGCGTGCACATTTTCAAACTATGATAGTAGGATGATGGAAAGTCTATGTTTTCTGTTGATGATGATCGTTTCAAAATCTTAAGCCGTGGGGGGACATTTGTTCTTACAGCTTTCGTGGGGAACGTTATCGTACATTAACAGTATGCCCGTGCATGGTCGGAATTCTGAGATGGTTTGGCCCGGGTGTCTGCAGGAAGCCGTGCAGGGCTGTGTTCCTGACGTCTGTTCCGAATAGCATATTCCCGCAAATCCCTACATGGGGTCCTCCGATATCAGCCGTTCCCGTTTCAGGATTTGGCAACTCTGTGTCTTCTCACAATATCGTAGGCTGAGGGACTAGACCAAAGCCACACTTAAGGATCAAGTTTACAAGCCTAGAGCCCTCGGTAAGTTGGGTATATACTGTAAAAGCGCAGGTATCATAGGAAGAACACTATACATTGAACGAAGAGAGAGAGAAATAAGTTTTTCCAAAAGTATGAGCATTCTAAACTAATAATTTTAGGAGGAGAATAAAAATAAAATAAAAACACCACTGTTATGCACCGCGCCAAAATAGGGCCCTACAATTGCCTTCCCGGACAACGTTTCGAGGGACGGCGGTGGATGAAGGGTTGCAGGAGTTATAAGCAATGCGTTTTCCCCCCAATTAAACTTCTGAGGGATACCTTCATAAGAATTAGCGTTAGTCGAGGCTTGTAACGGACTGCCAGAGCACCTACCCAAACATATTGATCCCAATCCAGGTACTAACAAAGTAGCTCCCCTCAAACAACAACCACATCAACCCCCACTCGGCGGCAAGCGCTTTCGCGATCAAACCTACATTCCCACGAAACTCCCACGGTGAGAACACCCTCACCTTTACAACACAAGCGTCAACGCCCCGCCGTAACAAAAAGCTTGTGGCAATTGTTCTCATAACGGCGCTCTCAAAAACACTGGAAAACGCCGTGGCGATGCCATCCACAACATGAGAAGCGATCACATCGGCTGGGTGCAAGCTAAGCCTAGTGACTCGGTGCTGTGTCGGCGGCGGCTCCCCATCCAGTAGTTCTGTAGGGGGTTGCTCCTCCTCTTGCGTCCACCCAGTCCCTCGTGTGAATGGTTGCGGTTCGTCGAATTGCAAGGTTGCTGTAAAGTGCTGGCGAGTGCGATCGCCCTCACTGGAAGTCTGCTCAATCATTATCGCGACTGTTTCGTCTGCTGGGGGTGGCGGGATGTGGATGTCCATGTCCCAGCTTCCTCCATCTAGTCCTTCGTTCAGGGCTCCAGCAATTGAAGCTGCGTCGGGATTGGTAGGTCGCGGGATGACTTGGCGGAGTTGGTTGAAGAAGAAGAGTTGCAAATAGCCGCATGAATACTGTTGAAAAAAGGACAAGAAGAAGTAGCTGTTTGCCGCTTGGGATGCTAAGAAGGCAAGGCCCGAGAGGGATAGGATAGGTCCGGGACAACTTGGTAGAACTAGTGGGGACTGAGAGGAAAAAGGGATAAACGAGTATAAGGATGGGAGGATTGAGGTTGTTGGGAGAAGGTGAAGGGATTGGAGAATCGAGTGTTGGTATAACGGATAAACCAAGAACCAGGACAGCGTTGAAAAACTAGCGGGAGTTAGCTATGCTCACTGATCTACGGATTTGAGAATGCATACCATCTATCCAGAGTGTATAGCAGTTTTTTCCTCGGTATATTCGTTTTTGGATCCCTAAACAGTGGCTTGGTACTCAAATACCGTAAGAGCCTTCCTTGTAAATAGTCCCGACCCACATTCACCAGTTGATAGCACAGATGTGCAGGCATGCCCGATAACATCTCGAGAATGCCATTTTTCCGGAATGTGCGCAGTAAAACATGCCGATATCCTAAGCCTTCATATGTCCGATACGTCTTCTCGACTCAGCCTCCATTCCCGGGATTCCATCGACACCCCCGAAAATCCACATACCTGTAGCCTATTTCGGATTCCAATAAGCGGCCAGGTAGTTAAATAGGTAATGGTTAAGTCTACCGCACCCACAAGTAACCCAACCTCATTCTCCTGAAGAATTGCTTCCGAGAGCACCTGGTTCTGCTTGGTGTCTCGACGGCATACCCCAACCGTTGCTAGGACATCGTTTTGGGCCTTTATCAGGCGCCGCTGCATTTCTTGAGATTGCTCGCATACAGAAGAGCCGGCTGGATCTGCATCGGATGTTGGCTGAGAGGGCTCAAAGGATTGCCTCCCTAGTGCTCGAATATAGCTTCCATTCCTCATTCTGTAGATAAGGCGGGGGTTGTGCGAGAACAAGCGAATAGCAGTATAATAGTCGGTAAACTGGGGTTGAAAGCCGGGGGGGGGTCTAGATGATGCCAGATGCTACTTTATCTGCTACCGTATCATATGACAAGGAAGGCGGCTCTTGACCACGTGATGATCCACGCTTAGATTTACGGCTCTTATCATGAACTTTCTTCGGGACACCCCTGATTCCAGAACTCAGTCTGCAAACTTTCCGCTTCCAGAGCTCAATCCTCCAACTCTTTGAACCGCATTCCACCCTTAATATCATATACCCCCCAAAAACGAATTCCTCTGGCTTGAGTTTATAATAATTTTCTTTCCTTTTACCCTGTACAAATCTTTAACACCGCAACTCCAGAGACCCTCCGCCCCGGCACAATCTTGCAACATGTGGACAGGCCAACCGCCCACAGCTGGGCACACCCCAAGTACTCCCCCCAGACACCCCCAGCTACCGCGAGGAGATAGTTTGGAAGATCAGGTCAGAGGAATGATCATTAGTAATTCGGCGGGCTATCGTCAAAGCAGCCAGGATGTCTCCCCGGGGCATCCCCCGCTGCAAATGCCACTTACGCCCCACTCTCAGGATCGGTTTTACGAGAAGCAAGATTACAGCATTCCATTTCCATCAGAAAGTCCTGGGTTCGATTCTCAGCTTTTACCAATCAACCCCTCTTCTCAAGTATCTGGTTGGCATCTCTCATTTCCCCAGAATCGCACTTTTCGCAACTCCACGAACATTCTCCCACTTACCTCAAGATCGAACCTTCTAGGTCCTCAAACCCAGGGCTCGCAGTTTGGAGCACCCCTCCCACCAGTCCATTCGGCACACTTATCGCCATCCCAACAACCACCTTTTACTCCGGGAGCGCAACCGCGGCGTACAGTACCACTGCTGCCGCAAAATCAGTTTCCGAATCGCTCCTCAATCCCAACCCATCAGGATCAACGACATATGCGCCCTACCCTGCAACAGTATCCCACGCCTCAACACCCACACCACCACCACCAACAACAACAACAACAACCGGCCCTAAATAGACAGGTTAAAGCACGGGAATATCCGTATACTAGTGTTAGAAGGCCTCAATTCCGGCGTGGTTCTCAGCGCAACAATCCCAATCAGCATTCGAACATCCGTTCCCCGCCTTCTACTCCTCCTACTACTTTTTTGCCCGCAGACAGTCATGATCAATTTCCCCCTCTTGGAGCTGAGCGCCCCAAAGACGCTCCACCCAAACCTCCACCTAAATCGCCGCAGAAAAATACACAGGGACAAGCCCAATACAGGGCACAGCGTCCACCATTTCCATTGCAGAGTCGTCCGCCCCCTCAGCGGAAACCAGCTTTTCGGAATCCCCAGGTGTCTTCACAGGCGGGGAAAGACCGGATGGGTCCCTTCAACCCAGAGCAGATGGTTCATGAACAGAATACCAACCTCCAGGTATTTGCCAGGGAAATTATCACAGCCGCTACGCCGACTCCGGAAGAGTTGGGCGCTCAAAACCGGCATTTGAAAAAGTGTAGAGCGATCTGCCAGGGAGTCTGCCCAGAAGGGGAGTTGGTCCCCTTTGGAAGCCTAGTTAGTAAGTGCTGCGCCCTTCACTCTTCTCAACTTTCTCTTGACTGTGTACCTTGTAGCCAGTTTGGTTAATATCGCTTAATATATCTCTAATTTGATTGCCTTGCTCTCCTCCACTGTGTTGGTACCATAGCCGGATTCGCAATAACTGAGTCCGATCTTGATGCCGTTCTCACTTTTCCCTATTCGGAGGACCTTTTCAGCACCCCTGACAAGAGTGACGAGTCTAATTCTCTTCCACATAATCTGGCGAAAGCATTTCAATCTGAGGGATTCATGGTTACGCTGCTCTTAAAGACCCGTGTGCCGATAATGAAGCTTGCACTGAAGGCCACAGATGAGAACCAATTTGACCTGAATTGCGATATTGGGTTTAATAACGACCTGGGAGTGCATAATACCAGGATGCTGCAAACATATAGTCGATGTGATCCAAGGGTCAAGGAAATGGTTCTTTTTATAAAGGTATTTGCCTTCATCCCAATTCCAACCCAGCAAACATCTCGGCAGTTGGTAAATTTGTGAACCCAACATTAACACATGCTAGTGGTGGGCCAAGAGGAGACATATCAATAGCCCATACCGTGGTACCCTTTCTTCTTACGGCTACGTTCTCATGATCATTCATTTTCTGATCAACGTGGTTGACCCCCCTGTCTTAATCAATCTACAGAATACCCGGATCCCAGAAGATGTGCCGGCCGACCAGATATTTGATGAGGGTGGTGAAGGAGAGCACCAGATTTGGTATGCTAAAGATATCGAACATCTTCCCAAGACCACAAACCAGATGCATGTCGGCCAGCTCCTACATGGCTTCTTCGAATATTATTCATACAGGTTCCAATGGGGAAGAGAGGTCATCTCGATCCGGACTCACGGCGGTATATTTAGTAAGCAAGAGAAGGGTTGGGTCGCAGCTGTGACTAGGCCAGGGAGGAGCGGGCAAACTCAGGTAAAGGATAGATACTTGTTAACCATCGAGGACCCTTTCGAAACCAACCACAACGTGGGCAGGACGTGCAATGCCCCCGGGGTAGACAGGATTCGAGCGGAGTTCAAAAGAGCTGTGAACATTATTCGGTTTCGCGATGGTGGCAAGTCAATGAGGGAACTTTTATGCCAGGAGGCGCCGCCGGAAAAACCATGGGTTAGGAGGGAGGATGATGAGTTGAGGGGTGGGAAATCTAATCCGGACCAAGACGCTAACAAAGAAACAAACGCCGACGGTGGAATGCCAACCGAAGGAGGAGGTGAGTGATGAGAGATGGCTCGTTCCGAACATACCCCAAATGGAGCGGCACTCTGAGTCTGGGAATTCTAATTAACGGGAGGTCAAAGGCCTTCCGGAGAACCCAGCCCAAATATATGCTACGCTTTGTTTTTGTTTTCCTTTCTCTTTCCTTGTCTGAGTGGCTCAATATATCACAAGGTTCCATTTATCCCAAGATCAGAAAAGACAAGCAATTCCAAAGAGAGAGAAAGCTAGAATTTGAAATGAGAGGATGAAATAAATGTCAAAAAAAAAAAAAAGAGAAACCAAGGGTGCTTTTCGTAGTTGCACGCCCCATCCGTCTAGTAATAGTCCTCACCGCCTCCTTCGTCCCCCCAATCATCCCCACCATCATCATCACCATCATTAAAGTACATCTCAGCATTATAATCCCCCTCCTCATCATCGCCAAAATCATCCTCAACTTCTTCCTCCTCCGCTGCCTCATCTTCATCATCGTCGCCATCTTCATCACCAGCGTCCTCTCCCAACAGTCTTTGTAGGACCCCCCCCTTCTTGCCCTTCCCTCCGGCCTCTCCATCCTCGCCCTCCCCATCTTCCCCCTCCTCCTCATCCAGCCCACCAACAACGTCGAGGGCCGAAAAGATCAACTTTTTACCCTTCCCCTTCTCCCTGCCCCTTCCGTCCTTGGCATCACCGTCACCCTCGATCCCCAATGTGTCCCACAACTCCTCGGGGAAGAGCTCTTTGACATACGGCCTAGAATCCAACTTGGGCACCCTGCGCTTCTGTCGCTTGTATTTCGCCGAGTACTTGCTCACGTCATTGAACGGGTCCTCCATACCACGCTTCTTGCCCATGATGGTGTACAGCGGCCCGTTGTGGATTTTTTCGCGGTACAAACGGTAGCGCGCTACTATGTGGCGTTCGTCCCTGCTCAGGGGGTTCGGGACAGGTGGTGGTTGGGGCTGTTTTAGTCGGTCAGTCGGTTACTGTACTGCGCTGCGCCGTAGACGCAGATGTGGAGGGCAGGGGGTAATACGGGAAAGAGTTCAGTAGTACTGTAATCAGGTGGATTATCCGGGTCGTGACCGAATGGACCACCCATGCCTCCCCCTCCTCCTCCTCCACCTCCGCCAAAGTTACCGCCACCGCGGAAACCACTGCGCCCACCTCTGGACATCTCTCGCTATCTCCAAACGAGAAGGTTGGATAGTCGCGAGGCGCGGGGGGGGATTGGGAAAGATACCTTATCGTAGTTAAGCGGGAATGCGTTTCGAAATCATCAGTCCAAGTGTGAGTCGCCGGATGTTTCAATCTCTGGGTTAGGGTTTGGAGCGGAGATATGATTTTCCGATAGTGGGTGGATGGGTTGGTCGAATTAAGCGGTGGTCCGTGCGTTTCTTTTCTTTTCTTTTTCTCTTTCTTTTTTTTTTTTTTTTTTTTTTTTTTTTCCTTTCAAAGTGTGTGTGAAAGTGTGTGTTCCAGGTGCAGATGCAGGAACGGTCCGAGAAAGAAAGAAGAAACGCAGGGCCTTGGTGGAAAGAAACGGTTCCATATCTACCGGCATGGTGATGACGAGGCTTTCCATAATTTCGGACGGCGATGAGCTTTGTGGAATCATTCGCCGTAATTTACAACAACTACTGCATTACCGTACATCTAGATCAAAGGTTTTTTTTTTTTTTTTTTTAAAACCCACATGGCAGACCTTGCCGCACCCTTGAAATACCCGTAGGCAGTCAAGAGATAATTTACCGGTTGGAAAAAAAAACTGAAAAAATCTCGCACCCCCCGATTTGAACCACCGCCCTTCCGTCACCAAAATCAAAAAATATACCATAGCAACAGCACGTTTCGATCGTGCGTCCTCCGGGTTATGAGCCCGGCGCGCTTCCACTGCGCCATGTTGCTTGTTGACAGGTATATTTTGTTCCCTCTCTTTAAAGGGGGGGGGAGGTGGAACCCTACAGCAGTAATTATAGGTTTTTGATATGATACCTCATGACCGGTTTTAACAAGTGTTATCATGTCGTAGGATGTAAATATTGCAACACGCCCCCACCGCGGTTTCGGGAAGGTATGATAAAGTCGTGTGAGGTGCTATGTTCGCGTCGACAGGTATGATTACTGGTAATGTAGGGAAACTTGGGCACGCAGATCTATCATGTTCGAGTCCAGGTATGATACGAGTATTTACTGCCTTGTGCTTAAAGCTAACTTACCGGTACCGGTACTTTTATTGGTGGTGTATCTATGTTCCCGACAGAGTTTATCCACCCACCACGCCTTCTCGTGGTTTTACGGCATGATAGTCTACCAATCCCACAGATTCCCCACTCTGTTTTTGCCATTGCCATGCGGGATACAACTTATTTACCCTTACTTACTGTACAACACAGCGCAATTCATCCCGGAAGAACATAGGTAGGCATTCGAGTATCACTCATGACGACATCCCGGTCTCCAAAAAAAAAAGGGGGAAAAGGAAAAATGGAAAGGGGTGATATGTTTACTGCTACTGTTACTGCTGCCGTATGGCACCCACCTAATCCCCCTACCGGTACTACAGCACTACGACAACCTCGCGTAGGTATTATATATATATATATATATATAGCCATTGATCTCCCTGCCTGTCCACCATCAAGGTACCGGCTCCCTTGGAACCTCTCACTCTTCTTCCCCCATCCACTCACTTTATATCATACAAGATATTATGCTACAGCGGGAACGTAAATTAGCCTACTTTTTCTGCCGCGAGCGAGAACGTAACCTATACGGTAATTGCCATAGTGCACACTTCCATCCGTTACGGTATCTAGACGGGGAAGCACCGGCTTTTCGGGCTGGCTGACTGACTGGCTCTCGGCGGAAAGTCAACGGTGGTGGGGGAAAATGTGGCGATTGGTAATGGTTACACTGTTGGGACGGATCAGGGGGGCATGATGAGTTAAGCTAGGTTGGTTAGATCAGATTTTCATAATTGGTATTGGAGGACTGCAGCTGTGCTTTGATTTGCTAATTGTTATACGAGGGAGATGTAGTGTGATGTGCGATTGGGATTGGGAGGTTGAGAGTTGTGGATGTTATAGGATGAGGGTCTAACGTACCCCACGGTGAGTCGAAACACACGGTGACACGAAACGACCAAACAGGGTGTAGCTTAATACCAGTTAGACTGCAACGGCCTCCAACAATAATCCATACTTAACAGAAATCCTCTCCATCTTCGACCTCAATACCAATATCCAACTCCCCCTCACCATGCTTTTCCCTTTCATCTTCTCCTTCCTCATATTCAATATCCAGATTATTCAACCCTTCCAAGGCATTTTTCTCTTCTGCTTTCAATTTTTCATATGCGCTCTCCTTCTCTTTTACCAATTTTCTATACCTTTCCATTTTTTCCTCCATTTTTTTCTGCTCA